AAATAAATAAATAAAATGCCCACAGATAACTGCTGAATTGCTAGCTTTGCCGGTGAGGCCAAAAGCCATGCCAAGAAAAATTAAAACAGGACTAGCATAGGCTTTGCAATAATTGTAAACTTTTCCGTCAAAATATCTTCACTTAAAGTACACACATTGGCATAAACTAAATAAGAAAATAATCCTATTCTACATCTCCTTCCTTTCTATTTATGTCCTTTTGTTAATTTACAGCATTTTTTTAAAATGTATTTTAGTACAGGGTCTCACTACACACTCGTGGTGATCCTCCTCTTTTCTGCCTCCCAAGTGCTGGGATTACAGGGCATGCCATCATGCCCAGTCTCAGTGTGTCCAGGGGGAGGGCCCACAAGGCATGCCGGGGATTGAACCCCAATCGCTGTGCCTGTCTAAGTAGGTACTTTAGCCCGCTGAGCGATTTGGCTGGCCCAATACAGCATTCATCTTAGGACAACTGAAATACAAGTGCAGTTATGATAAGTAGATCTCTCAGCAAGCAAAGAAGAAGTGAGAGGAAGCCTGCTTCCATGCTTTTCTTATCTTGACACGCTTGCTTTCAATGGTGCTTTTTCATATAGAGCTACTTCTCAATCAGGTACATGTTTGGAAATATCTTCAAAAACTGCTTGGAAACACCTCATTACCCTGCCAGTGTTTCTGAGTGACAATTAGAATAAATGAAATCAGAAACTCTCTGAACCTAACTGGCATCAGAGGTCCTATAATCTGACACCCTTGCTGTTTGAATACTTACAAAATAGACAGCTCCCCTTCATGAAGAGGTCAGTTACACTTCCACTAGTTTTCTTTACTAACATAACTATTTTAAGCATTTAAAACCCAACAGCATGTATGCAGCCGCCAGCCCAAGTCTTCTCCCAGACTGTACTTCACCCTCTAGCTACGCTTTTCTACGATAAAGTTCACCCCGAACAGTGAACAACCGCATCTCCATTCTGCTTAGTGGAATGATTTATGAATACAAAAGCAGAAAATCCATGTCTGCAACGTTTTCACTTCCTCTCTATGCTTCAGTTTTTGTGGGGGTTTTTTGTTGTATTTTTTTCTTGTAAAAAGAGCAAGAGACGCTACAGAGTCTTCAGTGATACTGCCTAATCCAACCTCCTATGCTATGGTAAATAATTGTACCTCCACTGGACTCCAACGACAAATACGTAAATACTGCAGGCAAAGAGTGTTATATAGGTGGCAGAAAAACAGTATATAAAAGCGAAAGATTTTTTTTGAACCTGTCTAGGTTTAAAAAATGAAATAAAAAAGTTCAAAATATAAAAACACAAAAGATTAAAGCCAGTTTCATGTGTAAGTGATTATCAATGTCAAATGTCAAAAATATATTCAAAAGATGGAGGAAATATTTTACCTGATGTTGAGGAGTTTCAGTGCATTCAGCAGCACGCCCCGTTTTACATCGTAGTCTATTTTCTGATCGGTTCCAAAGCTTGGGGCTCGATTAATCTGAAATTTACAGAGAGACTATGAGGGCAGGCAAGTGTTGGGAGGGTCAGCAGCTGCTCAGTGTCTTCTCAATCTCATGGGATCCCTAAAGGACTCTACCGTGAGCCACCGCGGCCTGGATACCACTGCCCATCTCTGCTGCCCAGCACCAGGCCCCTCTGCCTTCAGAGAAGGCTTTCAGGGGCAGCGTTTTCTGGCACTTTCTCCAGCCACTACCCCATGCCCTGGAGATTCCAAGATGAGCAAAGTTCGAAGTGACTTATCCGGACAAAAAGTTTGAAGAAGAATGAAAGCGCTATTCATGTCATCAACACAGTAACAATTATATACATGAAGACAGCATTAAAAAAATCAGCGCCCAGTTCTAATCGCTTCATATCTTCCTATGAACTCATCTTCTCTTGCTTAAAAAATACACTCTGTTTCTTTCTAGCTAGCTCAAACAATAATTTATCAATTTCCATTTCAAAGGTACTGACTAACTCAGAAATTAAGCTTAAAGGTAGCTGCAGACCAACCTCCAGGCGCGTTTCTAACAGCGTAAGCGGTAATGGGAATACAAAGCCCCATTTGTGTCTATCCTACTCTCTGACATCATCACTTCCAGGAATTCATCTAGGTGAAAAATAAGAAGCCACTTTATATGTCTTGAAACCCCTCACACAACAGTCTAGCACTTCAAGAGCTGATCTTTTTTAAAGAGGGGTATTACTGACATTGTGAAAATTAACTGGCATAGCAGATGTTTAAGAGAATTACTCAGTTAAATCAGTTGGTTAGGACACTGCTGAATTGAACACTACAGGTTTGTTCTAGAACACCAACTAATCTCTCAGGCTACTGCAACAAAAACTGTCTGCTCCTAGTTGTAATTCTGCAAATCCATCAACACAAAGAGAAAACACTTATAGTGTGCATTCTGTTACTGGCAACTGAGGAAATGCCACATTAAATTGAAAAGGCCATCAAGGACTATTGTGTCTAACTATAAATGTGACATAGTTTCCCTCTAGGAAAACTATAAATAGAAGGAAAAATAACAAGAAAAGATCACCTGTTGGTGTATTGTTAACCTTTGATAAACAGTATTCAGATATTTTCTATCCATGTATAACAAAAATTCATCTTATCCTCTACATGTGTAAATATGGCAGCTGCACTCTATAAGCAAAGTTTTTCCTCTTAACAATATATCATGAAAATCTTTCATCATGTCTCATGTTTACAGATTCACAGGACTCTTTTCGTATAGCTGTGCCATACTGCATTTTAATGTCGTTATGTCTTAGCAGGTAAAGAACACATTCCCAGCAAGCGCTGGGAAAGTGCAAGAACACCTCGGGATTCCAGGCCAGCATGAAGAACAGCCTGCGCCTGGTAGCTAAGCTCAGGGCATTTCCCATTCCAAGGGCACGTTCGTGTAAACCCTGGAATTTGTAACACAGTGATACTTCTGCTGCTACTTACAACAAGATTATAAACTAAACCAAACATTTAGAACTGCTGATGAAGTGCCTCTCTGGAATGCGGTCTGCTTCACAGAATTCTTTGGTATTCCATCCAAGTTGCAGCTGGGCACTGCGCCAGGCACACCCTTCACCCAGGACACGTCCTGCTGTAACACACTAATTCATAGCTCTCCTCGGACCTCTCACAGATTATTCCCTTTGCTATGATGTAAAATATTCTATGAAGAAATATACACACATATAACAAACTAAATGCAGACAGACAGTAAAACTTTATCAAGTTTCAAGAGAAAAATCAAGAAACAAAATCAGAACCACAAGTGGCTGACAGAGGAGACTGAAAACTAGACAGCTTCTACCCAGCAAAACGCTCCTCTGTGACGCTGGTGCTTTCTTCAGTTCTCACTTCCTACCAAGATGCTAAAACAGACAAAACCCAGCAGATGCTAGAATTTTAAAGTTCAACGAGTTTGTAAAAATTGCAAAGTAGAAATGGTCCAAAACACACTTTTATTACCAAAAGGAGGTCAGTCAGCTCATACACATATCAAGGCATCCATAACAGCATCTTGGCTCTAACCTGAACACTCGCCAGACCACTCACCTAATACCTACCAGCTCCCCTAGCCTCTATCCTACCTTAAACATCTCTGTCCAAATGTTCCTTCTGCAAAGACTTAAAAAAAAAAAAAAAAAGCTCTCAAACATAGACATTAGCTCAGGGATATTAATCACTCCATTGATTGTGCTATTTTTTCGTTTCCTCTGAACACTTACAACTATGACACACATCTGAGTCTTCACCAGGATCACACAAGTGTTCTGGCCAATTCTATTAGTACAATGACTCCAACTTAATACACCTTTAATTTATGGGCACTTAAAACATTTGCAGTACATTCATTCATACTCTATAATTTTCCACTCTAAAAAAATATTTTCTGTGCTTGAAATTCTCTTCAGTTTTGCTACAGCTAATCAATATCTGAAATTACTCTAGTCAGCTAAAACTTGGCACTTTCTCAGAAGTACCTTCTACTTTATTCCACTTGGTGGCGACAAAAGGCTTTGAACAGCATCCTCTATCAGCATGCCGGCAACTTCAGCAGAGAGCAGAGCAACAAGACACAGAGCAAGTTCTAAAAGGGCTAACGCTGAACATGCTAAATGGCCATTTTACAGTTTTTGATTGCTGTGGCGTTTTTAATGGTTCAGACTTATCTGGAAACAATGAAAGAGGGAATACAGAATGAAGAAGCGTGGTATTTTGAGCTTTTAAAAATATACAGAATTCAGTCAACTATGTTTAGTGCATTAATGAAAAATTCCAGTGAGCCTTTTTTTTAAAAAGGTACCAAAAACATTTATGAAGTCATTTTTCTCTGCAATCCTTTTAGCTTTTCTTCCTGCATATACGCTCACCACTTCTCTACCCATCAAGAATTTAAAAAATAGAGACGAACCAGGCCGCGGGATCCTGAACAGACCCAGAGCACAGGCCCGGTGAGTGAGTGAGACGACCTGGGGCTGCGGGATCCTGACAGACCCAGAGCGCAGGCC